TTTACAGAAATGTAAATCTAGGGAGTAGAGATGAGAATCTGAAGAAATATAGCTTTTTAAAAATACGTGAATTGCTATTCATAAGACTTAAAAGTAAACAGAGAATGGATAATTTAGAAATAGGACGTCTTTTCTAATGGAATGATGGGAATATTTATATCCATACTGAGTTATTGTGAAGCAGAGAACAGGCATGCATTCACTTATACTTTTAATGGGCTTGTGCTGTAGCAAGCTTCAATCCAACTGTAGAATTTCACTGTTTTGGGGGAAAAAGCGTTTCCCTCATTGTAGTGCCTCTATTTACATTTGTGGCTGGTCAGTGAAACTCAGTTCTCAAATCACCTGTGAGAGAAGCTGGTCTGTTCAGAAACCACTTTTCTCAGGAGCCCTTTGGTGTCCAACTTGAATAGGCATGACTGGAATTGTGAACAGAATGGGGCTGGATCACTCTGGACTGTAGGTCACTGTGTTGATGAGATCAAGCTTGCAGGTTGGCTTCCGCTGTGGGCTACTCAATTCCACTATGTCCCCAACCTGGACATAGTCTGCACCTTTGTCAGCTGCATCACCATTCTGTACTTGCTAAATATGTATAAAGTGCCAACATGTGAGGAGCTCTGAAAACGTGTTGTTGCATGTTGTTGCAAACTCCTTCTCATGGTAGAAACTTGACTTGCCCTGGCGACTTCTGGTGGCACCATCTTTGATTCCTGTAACAACCCTTGGCTAATTGAATTGTATGTGGCCTTTGTCTTCTTCCTGCCTTTTTGTGACCCTCTCACACCTTTCAGTGCATCTCCCTTAACCTCACAGTTTCACTTCCTTCATGCTGCCTTGCCACCTGTCTTTCTAGGTCTCTTACCATAGTACATCTTTCTTAGTTGCTTCACTACTCTCAAATATAAAAAATAAATGTACTATCTTGTATTCTATCCTCTTTTGCCCCACTATCGGTTTGTTTCCTAGGAATAGCAATTCAAGAGAAACAAATCATACCATCATGTTGAAATCTAGTAATGGTCTAATACTCTCTAGGTATAAGACTATAATGCTTTAACTCATGGGAATGGATTTCTACTGATGACAGTTCAGTGTGGGAAAATATTTGGTGCCAGATGGCCCTTTATGGATCCCTGGTATTATACCCTTTGCTTTTGTGGAAGATTCCCTCAGGTCTCTTGAAATACCTTATATTGTAACCTTGTATTGTGGATGCTAAAGGAAAAGAATAAAGGGATAATATTTGGAAATTGTTTTCTGCATTACTGCAAGGCTGTTTTTTTGTCTATTGACGATTTTATAACTAAATATTCCCTCTTTGCTAGCTAAACAAGAGTACAGAGGAAAAGAAACTATGGATCTATTAAATCAAATAAATTTTGCTTAGATAGTACTTAAAAGGAAATGAATTCTCAGTATACTCTTAAGGTATGTATGATGAAGCTAATTGTAAGGGCTGTTAAATGTCTTCAACTGCATTTGATCATGATCTTTGTGTCTCAGGAGCAGACATTTTGATTATCTTCAATATCAATCATGTCCTGTCACTAATGGGCCAAACCAGCCTGTTAACATTGTAAAGGTGTAGATTATACAGCAGATCACTGAAAGGAAATAATTAAAGGGATTTAGGGAACAAATGGAAAATACATTCCAAAAGTTTTTTTTTTCATATTAAGTAAGTAATTATAGAGGTTGAAGCTACTTTGTTAAGCCAAATTAGTTACCTTGCTGTGCATCTTAGAGTTGGGGGGGACGGGAATTGGACTATTATATAGCTTTTTTAAAATCACCTCCAGGTTTTTGTTGTTGTTGATTGCATGGGAACAGTGTTACAGATAATCCATTAAAATGGAATAATATAAAATTCATTTAAAAAAGATGATAAAACAATATTTTTCATTTTTAATCTTTATTTTTGAGAGAGAGAGAGAGAGAGCTTGAGAGGAAAAGAGAGAAAGGGAGATACAGAATCCAAAGCAGACTCCAGGCTCTGAGCTGTCAGCACAGAACCGAACACAGGGCTTAAACTCACAAACCATGAGATCATGACCTGAGCCGAAGTCAGATGCTTAACCGAATGAGCCATCCAGGTGCCCCAAAATAATAAATATTAAACTTACATTTAATCCAGAGATGTATTGCCAGTAATTTACCTTGACCTAGAAGGTTTAACTAATGCAGATTTCCCCTCTGTATTATTGTTTTGTTGTTGTTAGTTTTTTGTTTGTTTATTGTCAGGTTGGTTTCCATACAACACCAAGTGCTCATCCTAACAAATGCCCTCCTTCATACCCATCACCTCTTTTCCTCTCTCCCTCAACACCCTCAACCCTCAGGTTGTTCTCAGTATTTAAGAGTCTCTTATGGTTTGCATTCCTCCCTCTCCTTATCTATTTTTCCCCTTCCCCTTCCCCATGGTTTTCTGTTAAGTTTCTCCTGTTTCACATATGAGTGAAAACATACAGTATCTGTCCTTCTCTCCCTGACTTATTTCACTTAGCATAACACCCTTGAGTTCCATCCACAAATGTCCAGATTTTATTCTTTCTCATTGCCATGTAGTATTCGATTGTATAAGATGAACCACATCTTCTTGCTCCATTCATCAGTTGGTGGACATTCAGGCTGTTTCCATGATTTGTCTATTGTTGAAAGTGCTGCTATGAACATTTGGGTACATGTGCCCCTATGCATCAGCACTTCTGTATCCCTTGGATATATTCCTAGCAGTGCTATTGCTGGGTCATAGGGGAGTCCTATTGTTAATTTTTTGAGGAACCTGCACACTGTTTTCAAGAGCCGCTATACTAGTTTACATTCCCACCAACAGTGTAGGAAGGTGCCTGTTTTTTTCCACATCTTCACCAGCATCTATAGTCTCCTGATTTGTTCATTTTAGCCACTCTGACTGGTGTGAGGTGGTATCTCAGTGTGGTTTTGATTTGTATTTCCCTGATGATGAGTGACATTGAGCAACGTTTCATGTGTCTGTTGGCCATCTGGATATCCTCTTTGGAGAAGTGTCTGTTCATGACTTCTGTCCATTTTTTCATTGGATTATTTGTTTTTTTAGGTGTGGAGTTTGATGAGTTCCTTATAGATTTTGGATATTAGCCCTTTATCTGATATGTCATTTGCAACTATCTTTTCCCATTCCGTTGGCCGCCTATTAGTTTTGTTGATTGTTTCCTTTGCCGTGCAGAAGCTTTTAATCTTGATGAGGTCCCAATAGTTCATTTTTGTTCTGTATCCCTTGCCTTTGAAGATGTGTTGAGTAAGAAATTGCTGCATTTGAGGTCAAGGAGGTTGTTTCCTGCTTTCTCCTCTAGGGTTTTGATGGTTTCCTGTCTCACATTCAGGTCCGTCATCCATTTTGAGTTTATTTTTGTGTATGGTGTAAGAAAGTGGTCTAGTTTCATTCTTTTGCATGTTGCTTTCCAGTTCTCCAAGCACCATCTGTTAAAGAGGCTGTCTTTTTTCCATTGGATATTCTTTCTTGCTTTGTCAAAGATTAATTGACCATACATTTGCGGGTCCAATTCTGGTTCTCTATTTTACTGCATTGGTCTAGGTGTCAGTTTTTGTGCCAATACCATCCTGTCTTGATGATGACAGCTTTGTAGTAGAGGCTGAAGTCTGGGATGATGATGCCTCCCATTTTGGTTTTCTTCTTCAATATTACTTTGGCTATTGGGGTCTTTTGTGGGTTCCATACAAATTTTAGTATTATTTGTTCTAGGTTTGAGAAGAATGCTGGTGCAATTTTGATTGGGATTGCATTGAATGTGTAGATTGCTTTGGGTAGTAATGACATTTTAACAATATTTATTCTTTTGCTCCATGAACATGGAATATTTTCCCATTTCTTTGTGTCTTCTTCAATTTCCTTCATAAGTTTTCTATAGTTTTCATCATCATACAGATCTTTTATATCTTTGGTTAGGTTTATTCCTAGGTATTTTAAGGTGTTTTGTGCAATTGTGAATGGGATCAGTTTCTTGATTTCTGTTTCTGTTGCTTCATTATTGGTGTATAAAAATGCAACCGATTTCTGTATGTTGATTTTGTACCCTGCAACTTGGCTGAATTCATGGAACAGTTCTTGTAGGCTTATGGTGAAGTCTGTTGGGTTTTCCATGTAGAGTACCATGTCGTCTGTGAAAAGTGAAAGTTTGACTTCTTCTTTGTCAATTCTGATGGCTTTTATTTCATTTTGTTTTCTGATTGCTAATGCTGGGACTTCTAGCACTATGTTAAACAACAATGGTGAGAGTAGACATCCCTTTCATGTTCCTGATCTCAGGGGGAAAGCTCTCAGTATTTCTCCATTGAGAATGATATTAGTTGGGCTTTTCATAAGTGGCTTTTATGATGTTTTAATATGTTCCTTCTAACCTGACTTTCTCAAAGGCCTTTATTAAGAAAGGATGCTGTATTTTGTCAAATGCTTTTTCTGCATCTATTGACAGGATCATATGGTTTTTATCTTTTCATTTGTTGATGTGATGTATCACATTGATTGATTTGCCAATATCGAACCAGCCCTGTAATCTAGGAATGAATCCTTCTTGATTTTGATGGATCTTTTTATATGCTGTTGAATTAGATTTGCTAGTTTCTTGTTGAGGATTGTTGCATCTGTGTTCATCAAGGAGAGGGGCCTTTTCAGTATCCAGGCTCGGGTAACCAAGCAGCTATGCAGTGCAGATGGGCGTGGTTTGGTGTAGGTGGGTTTGGCCTTCATTATACCTCCCTAGGGCCATACCTTGGTGGTTGTGGGGAGAAAAATAGCACCCCCCCCAGTGCCCTCTCGAACATGGCATTGCAAAACACTGTTTTCAGTCCAATCTCACTGTGCCGGGGGCACAGCCAAGGTGGTCCATGTTTTATGTCCCGCCCCCAGGCTTATTTCCAGATCTTACTCTGTTTGCATTAATAATACCGCCCTCAGTGTAATCCCTCAAGCCTGGGCACTTCCTACTGGGGAATCCAGTATGGGACCAGCTCCTCCTGAATCTGACTGTGACTGTGATCTCCTGGTAACTGGCCCAAAGAATCCTCTGCAGCTAGAGAGAAGATCTCTCTCTGAAATCCCTGCAGCTAGAGATGGGATGATATGATCCCTCTCTGTCCCAGGTCATGCTTTTTTCTCCCTTACAGGGACCTTTTTAAGATTTCTCAGCCACTTGTTATCTTCTTTTTGTCTCTCCTCAGAGGGGGCTCCCTCCCCTCCATGTTTCTGTACCCTGGGCCGGCCCATTTTTGTCTTCCCCAGTTCACAATCACGCACCTATGAGGCTGTCTTTTTAGTGGACTCCATTTCTTTTCCTCCCAGCCTCTTGCAGTTCAGAGTCTTTTGGCTTCAGCCCTTCTTTGTTTGAGAGATGCAGCTGGGAGATACAGAACTCCAGACTTCTCCACCATCTTGCCCCTTCATGTTTCTCTTCTGTATTATTCATAGTTATGAGACTGATACATGACAGGTAAACAACCAATATCAGGGAGTGAGTTAAAAAAGCCCCCCCCTTCAAGAAATAGCTTGTCATCAGTACATATTTAGTCTAATCCGATTGTTACTCCTTGCCTTCAACAGTGCACAATGGTCACCAAAATCCATAGTGGTGAATATGGTGGTTTCTGAATCCTCAAAGAAAGTTCAAATGCCCTTCAGTATAAATTTAGAATGAAGTATTTATTTGATTATTAATCTATTTCTAATGAATATTTCTCATACAGAAGAGGATTTGAGGCAGTTTATAATAAAAACCCATATATAGCAGAGCAGTGGAAAATGAAGTCAGAAAGAGATTCTAGAATCCACAGAGGCCAGAAACTTTCTTAGGCTGTAGACCCCTTCAAAAATCTCTTAAAGAGCTATGGAACATCTTCCCAGAAGAGTATAACTATGCAAATAGGCACAAAAACCTTGAAGTCTATCCAGGTACCCACCTTGGGTATCCTTGAACCCCAGGTCACGAACCCGTGTATAAAGAGGGGATGCTTGAGTGGCTCAGTCAGTTAATCATCCGGCTTTGGCTCAGGTCATGATCTCATGATTTGTGAGTTCAAGCCCCACATTGCGCTCTGTGCTGACAGCTTAGAGCCAGGAGCCTGCTTTAGGTTCTCCGTCTCCCTATCTCTCTGCCCCTCCCTCGCTTGGGCTCTGTCTCTCTTTCTCTCTCAAAATTAAATAAACATTAAAAAAAAAGAACCCTTGTATAGAGAAAGTAAAATCTGAAGGTAAGATAGTTAGTTATTGCACTTGAGTATTGCACTTATCCCTGAGCTTCCTGTCAACTGAAGTTAAAAGATAAACACGCTTGGGTACAGGGTTCTCAATTTCTAAAAAAAGGAAGCAGATCAGTTTATAAGATTATAAGTGAAACATATAATTTTAAAATGACAGTGTTTATACATTTTATTAGAGGATTATTTTGTAAAGGGTAATCAAGTAATATAAAGGTAGCATAATTTGATGAAATTCTTTGAAATTAAGTAATTGGAGGTAGAATATCTATGCTAATTGTGTTGACTAGCATATTAAATTAGCCAGTGTCTCATTTCCAGCCATTTTGGAAAAGAGGGAATTTACTATATATGTCTTTCTTTAACGGGAGATTCACCCACCCTAATATTTTTGATTAAAGCTGACATTAATATAATGTATTCCCATGAGCAAATACCGGCTAAACGGTGAGGGAGGCCTTAGGGTATAAAAAGAAATCAAACTGTGATTAAATATCTGCTATTAATAGGTCATACCATGGAAAACTGACATATAGATAATGGCAAATAATCACTTTAGGTGCCTATTGCTTCCAACTTTTCTCAAAGGCAAATAAATAACACAGTCATTCCTGTCACAATTATAGGCAGAGGAACTATAGGGTAGAGGTAAAGAACACAGTCTGTAGAATCAGAGACTGGTTTTCTATCACTTATTAGCCAGGTGACCTTAGGAAAATCACTAAACTTGTCTAAGTCTGTTTTCTTTTTTTTGTAAAATACAATCATAAAAATGTGAATCCCAGGGCTGCTCCTAGGCTGTACAAGGGTCCACTGGAAGTATTTCTTTTGTGGGGCTCCTGTCCAAACAATTTAAGTCACCTAAAATCAACATGTGTGTGTCATCCTAGTAGTCCAGTCTTTCACAATCCTGTGAAGCAAATACCACACGACTAACAGGATTAATCCATTTGCCAGGCCATTCTGCCAGAATTGGGACCTTCCAGTGGGACCCCAGGACAGCCACATAAGCGCCAGTGCTGAAACTCCTTGGAGGATCCAGTTAACTGCAAGCAGAGGTTTACTGTAGAGGACTGGGAATTCCCCAGAGACACAGGGATAGACCAGGGATCCTGTCTTCCCAGGTCTAAGGAGGATACTTATATATCTTAAAGGATCATTGGGAAGATTTAATGAGGTAATCTATGTAAAGAATTTGATATGAAAATTCTGTAAAGCCTGGATCACAGTAAGTCCTCAGTACATGTTGGCAATAATTGTTGCTTTTATAATTAGCATTAACAACACTCACTGCATTTCATGCCCAATCTGGTTTTCTTTCAGTGGATGGCTGCATTGACTGGTCAGTGGATCTCAAGACATACATGGCTTTGGCAGGTGAACCAGTACGGGTGAAATGTGCCCTTTTCTACAGTTATATTCGCACCAACTATAGCATGGCCCAGAGCACTGGGCTCAGGCTTATGTGGTACAAAAACAAAGGTGATTTGGAGGAGCCCATCATCTTTTCAGAGGTCAGGATGAGCAAAGAAGAAGATTCAATATGGTTTCATTCAGCTGAGGCACAAGACAGTGGATTCTACACTTGTGTTTTAAGGTGAGTGCTGTGTGAAAATATTGCTCAGTACCATAGCTAGTAGTCTTTTGATTGGGCTTGGGGTGTGTGGAGGTGTTGCTCATGTTATACAGTGAATATATTCTTGAAAGGTTGCAGTGTAGCTTCAGTAAGTTCAATTCTAATTATTTATTGGGATTACACAACAAATTCTTATCAAGTTTTCATAAAATGGGACTTCCATTTACTGTGCATGCCCATAGAATTTAGAAAAGTTGGTGATTCATTTCCTAACTCCCCCCCTACCATTGGGTCTTCTACTAAAATTTGTTTTTTCATAGGGCAATTTGGCTCAATGTTCTTAATATCTGACCATGAAAATGGCCTAAAGTATCATTTAGGGCAAGTTCTCTACTTTTTTTGTTGATGGAAAATAGCTTCAGATGCTACTAGGATATCTCTTAGCAAATAAGCTACTATTAAAAATTTTCACATGATTTGCAATGTCCACTGTATCTAAATGTTCAACATGGAACCCTGTAAATACATGGTCATCCTGAGTTCTTAGGTGCTATACAGGGAATATATAACAGATACTATTCATTCTTGCAAGGGGTTTATAGTGAAAATCAATCTCTTTTATCCTTAGGGATTCTACGATATGTCCTTCCTTCCCCTTCTGCCCTAGTGCGAGGATCTAGGATGTAGAATCTCAGATAGGGACTGCATTAGGTATTGAAGTAGATAGCTGAGATGACCTTTAAACCGCTTTTCAATTCTGCCATTTTGGGAGTCTCTGATCTTGCACACCAGGGACCTACACTCTATTATTTGATTTCAACTTCTTGGAGATGCAGACCCTTCCTATTTTTGCATCCTGTGGACTTTTGATGCCAAAGCTATGTCACCTCTTCATTAAAAGCACTCTGAAACCCCTGGTGAGACCTCATTGTTCAAAAGGCCAAGGGAACAAGGTGGTGTATAAATAATCTTCTTGGTGCTCTAGGCATCACTTTTGTACGTATGTGTTTTGAGGGGGGAGTGTTGGGGAAGTAAGTGGTAAGTTTACTTTTTGTTTGTGGTGGACAAAAACTCCAGGATATTGGAAGAAATAGCAATCATTATCATCAAATCCTTAGTGATAATCAATATTTTAACTACTTGGGCAGCTCTTGGTAAAAATGAGAAAAGGATGGTAACTCAGCCTCAGTGACTGATACTATATTCTTTGAGTATTGTTACTCTTTTCTTGCTTACCTCCTCTTCATCCCCCACCCTCAATAAATCCTGCCAATCTAAAATAGATGTCTTTTCCTCCTTTTGATCCATTTGCTTGTCTTTTTTCCCACAAATTTACATTTTTATTTGCAAAACAGTTCACTATATAGAAGTTATATACTGATAATGAATTATCAACTTAATTATTGCTTACTTTCCCTGCTCTGCTTATATGCCCAGACTTGCTACCCCTTTCCTCTAACCCTATTCTCCTACTCTGAGCAATGTTACTAATCCAGTGTGTATCCTTGCATACCTTGCCCCTATTCTTTGAAGTAGAAAAACATATATATGGAGATTTTCTCCTCATTGTTTTACAAAATAAGAGTTTTATATTTCTCTGCATTTTCTTTTCTTAGTAAAAATACAGAGTGGAAATCTTTCCAAGTCAATTGATAGAGAGCTCACTCATCCTTTTAAGTATGTAATATTCTGTGTTGTTTAATAGTCTATGATGCCACAATTTAGTCAATCATTTTCCTATTTATGTACATGTATTTTGTTTCCAGATTTTTATCCCTATAAAATGTGCTGTAGTAAAAGACCCCTCCATTTGCTTTTAAATAAACTTACAGATTTTAGAACATTTTTAAATTTACAGAATTATTGCAAAGACAAACAGTAAGTTCCTGTGTGCCCTGCATGGTTTTCCCCTATTATTAACATCTTACATGACTATGTTATATTTGTTACAATTAACGAACCAACAGTGGTATATTGTTATTAATTAAAGTCCATACTTATTCAGAGTTTCTCAGATTTTCCTTAATGTCTTTTTTTCTATTCCAGGATCCCCTCTGGGATACCATGTTACAGTTAGTTGTTAGGTCTTCTTAACTTCCTTTTGGCTGTGGTGCTTTTTCGGATTTCCTTAATTCTTATGACCTTGACAGTTTGATGAGTACTGTTCAGATATTTTGTAGAATGTCCCTCAGTTGGGATTTATCTGATATTTATTTCATAGTTAGACTGGGGTAATGTTTGTTTGTTTTTTGAGGAAGCCCACAGACATAAAATATACTCATTACATCATATCAAGGGTAAAATGTATCAGTATACCTTATTGCTTTTGTTTCGTTTTTAAATTGTTTGTTTCAAGTTTTTATTTAAATTTTAGTTAAATAGCATACAGTGCAATATTGGTTTTAGTAGAACTTAATGATATGTCACTTACATATAGCACTCAATGCTCATCACAAGTGCCCTCCTTAATACCCATCACCCATTTAGCCTATACCCCTCCCACCTTCACTCCAGCAAACCCTCGGTTTGTTCTCTATACTTTAGAGTCTCTTACGGTTTCCCTCCCTCTCTTTTTTCCCCTTCCTTCTCCTAGCTTTATCTGTTTTGTTTCCTCAATTCCAGATATGAGTGAAATCATATGGAATTTGTCTTTCTCTGACTGACTTAATTCACTTAGCATAATGCACTCTAGCTCCATCTACATTGTTACAAATGGGAAGATTTCATTCTTTTTGTCGAGTGAGTAATATTTCATTGTAGGAGTTCTATTGTTAATTTTTTGAGGAATCTCCACACTGTTTTCTAGAGGGGCTGCACCAGTTTACATTCCCACCAACAGTGTAGGAGGGTGCCGTTTCTCCACATCCTCGCCAGCATCTAGAGTCCTCTGATTTGCTCATTTTAGCCATGCTGACCAGTGTGAGGTGGTATCTCAGTGTGGTTTACATTTGTATTTCCCTGGTGATGAGGGACACTGAGCAATGTTTCATGTGTCTGTTGGCCATCTGGATGTCCTCTTTGGAGAAGTGTCTGTTCATGTTTTCTGCCCATTTCTTCACTGGATTGTTTGTTTTTTTGGGTGTGGAGTTTGATGAGTTCCTTATAGATTTTGGATACTAACCCTTTATCTGATATGTCATTTGCAACTATCTTTTCCCATTCTGTCAGCTGCCTATTAGTTTTGTTGATTGTTTCCTTTGCCGTGCAGAAGCTTTTTATCTTGATAATGTCCCAGTAGTTTATTTTTTCCCTTGATTCCCTTGCCTTTGGGGATGTGTCGAGTAAGGAATTGCTGCATTTGAGATCAAGGAGATTGCTTCCTGCTTTCTCCTCTAGGGTTTTGATGGTTTGCTGTCTCATGTTCAGGTCCTTTATCCATTATCAAAGAGGTTTTTTGCCTTATCCATTATCAAAGAGGTGTTTTACTCTAGGATTTTGATAGTTTCTTGTCTCACATTTAGGTCTTGCATCCATTTTGAATTTATTTTTGTGTATGGTATGAGAAAATAATCCAGTTTCATTTTCTGCATGTTGCTGTCCAGGTTTCCCAACATCATTTGTTGAAAACTATCTTTTTTCCTTTGGATATTCTTTCCTGCTTTGCTGATGATTAGTTGACAGTATAGTTGTGGATCTATTTCTGGGTTCTCTGTTCTTTTCTATTGATATATGTGTCTGTTTTTGTGCCAGTACCCCTATTCTATCTTGATGACTTTAGCTATGTATAATATAGCTCATGTCTGGAATTGTGATGTCTCCAGCTTTGATTTTCTTTTTTAAGTGTTGCTTTGGCTATGTAGTATTGATAAAAACCCTCAACAAAGTAGGGATAGAGGGAACATACATCACCATCATAAAGACCATATGCAAAAGACACACAGCTAATATCTTCAATGGGGAAAATCTGAGAGCTATCCTCTACAGTCAAGAACACGACAGGGATTTCTATTCTCATCTCTGTTAGCATAATACTGGAAATCTTAGCCTCAGCAATCAGACAACAGAAAGAAATAAAAGGTATCCAAATTGGTAAGGAAGAAGGAAAACTTTAACTATTCACAGACCACATTATACTCTATGTAGAAAACCTGAAAGACTATACCAAAAAAAAAAAAAAAAAAAAAAAGCTAGAAATGATACACAAATTCAGTAAAGTCGCAGGATACAAAATCAACATATAGAAATCTGTTGCATCTCTATACACCAATAATGAAGCAAAAGAAAGAAAAATCAAGGAATTAATCCCATTTACAATTTCACCAAAAACCATAAGATACCTAGGAATAAACCTAACCAAAGAGGTAAGACACCTATACTCTGAAAACTATAGAATGTTTAGGAAAGGAATAGAAGATGACAGAAAGAAATGGGTAAACATTCCATGCTCATGTATTGGAAGAAAAAATATTGTTAAAATGTCTATACTACTCATAGCAATATACACATTTAATGCAATTCCTATCAAAATGCCACCAGCATTTTTCACATAGCTAGAACAAATAATTCTAAAATTTGTATAGAGCCTTATCACTTTTGATATTGACCTTAATCACTTGGCTTGAGGTTGTTGTCTTTCTCCACTGTAAAGTTGCTTTTTTCCTCTCGTTTTTTATACTCTCTCCTTTGGAAGAAAGTGGTTATTCATAGTGCATAATTAAGGAGTAGGGAGTTATGCTCTACCTCATCTAGGGCAATGTAGCTACATAAAATTACCTGTGATTATTTGTCTCTTTACTCCCATTTATTTATATCAGTATGGACTCCTGAATATTTATGTTATACATTGGGTAATAATCCAATACTACTTTATTTTCTGGCTCAAAATCTTCTACCTTTGTTCATTGGGAGTTCTTTCAGTTGGTATATCTATTCCTTTGATATAACCTCATCACTGTGTGTGTGTGTGTGTGTGTGCATGCGCGCGTGCGCACGTGCTTGTGCATGCACACATTTCTTTATATTTCAGAATTATAAGATGCTCCAAGATTATCTTGTATGTTTCTAGTCCTAGTCTTACAATC